ATTTCTATACCCAGAGAAAACAAAGGAGCAAATAAAACATCATGTAATACACCACAGCTACTTGGAAGATCTAGGATACATTACTATCATGCCAGTAGTCACCCCAGGTCAAAAAAGTGGAACAAAAAACCTTGCCAACTCCTTTGATAAGAGCATGTCCTACCTCCTAGTATACCATTATTTTAAAAGCCAAGTTCTTATTGGTGCACAGCTCAACCACAGTTCCTCACCTGTGCTTGCCTCAAGGATGGCTATGCTTTGAAAAGGAGCAGTGATATCTCAGAGAAGCAGCACTGAGCAGAAGGTACAGGCAGGTTGCAGGCCATGCTGCGAGGGGACACAGGTGGGGACACCTGCACAGATCCTGGTCACTCTGCCCCAAGTCCTGGCTAGCAGGATTTGTCCTTCCCTTTTACAAAAGACCAGATAAATGAACAGCAGCACTTCTGCCAGGCAGAGATGCCAAACTGGCAAAACAAAGCTGATAAAACAGCACAAGATAACAAGCAAGAATAAGAGACAGAGAAATTAAAAATCCACTGAAGTAAAATAAGATGTTGATCTCAAGGGCCAAGCTCAGCCACTTCTGCTGTGCCACGTTCAGCAAAGTCCTTGTGGGCAGCAGACTGCATCCTGAAGGGCACCGTATGAGTCTCCCCTTTCCCAGGGCTCATCCTCCTTTCTGTGCAGCCACATGTGCTGAGGACCCAGCCCAGCTCCTGCAGCTGCTTGCTGCCTGCCCAGCTCTGCCAGCAAACTGCTCACCACTTCCTACTCTGGGCTCAGGTTTGGGGCCACCTGGACCTTAATGGATTGGGTGTTTCCTCACCACCAAGGCCAGCAGCATCAGTATCTTCCAGTCATATGCTGATGAGACAGATCCAGACACTATCACTATTTCCTTCAGAAAAAGGCAGGAAGGCACAAAACCAGCTTACCTGAATTGAACCTCTGTTCATCCAACCCACCTGGCATCAGGGGTCCAGCTCTGCCACTCCCTCTACCCCTGCTAAAGCCTGTCTGCCCAAGAGGGAAAGGTGGCATCACCACAGTGCTGTGCCTCCAGGTAAGGGCTCATCCCAGCTCCTGAAGCAAGCCTCAGGAAAGAGCCAGAGTGAAGAATGGAAAGGAAGACAGTGTGGAAAAGGGAGCTCAGCACTTACACCACCTAGTTTCTCCCCTTCTCATTCTAAAGGCTTTGGCTTCCTCAACAATTTTCAGCACAGAAACATACCCATTAACAGGCAGCCAGAGATAAAAGGTCCTGGAGGAGTACAATCACATGGTCTGACCAGCTAGCTGCACATCTCAGGAGACACAGGATGAACCACAATTTAGGTAACAAGCCGGAGGAGATGTGCAACCTCAGCTGGTTATCCAGCTAAGGAGGCTTAGCTCAACATGCAGGGGAGCTGCCCAGTGAGGCACAAAACCCAGTGGCACATGTGGCTCTGCTGCCATTGGTCCTACTGTAAGTGCTGGCACAGAAGGACACTGATAGGAGGGGACAGGGCTGCACCAGCATGGGAAGTCTCATTCAACCACAGAATCTACCCTGGAGCAAGTTTTGCAACTTGAAGAAACCATCTAGGCTGGCAACACAACAAATTTGTCCACTTGTTACTAAAGTTAACAAGTTTCACTTGTGTCAAAACACTGGAAGCAACAGAAAGTCAGTGCAGTGTAGGAGGCAAAGTCAAAACCAAACATTTTCTTGTCCTGCAAAGTGATGAAGCCACTGTAGCCACAAAGTAAGTCACTAGCAGAAAAAGTCAGGGAATTGGATTGTTAGTGTAATATTCCTCAGTCTAGGATAAAATTATTTAAGGATTTTCTACCTATTCAGATAGGTGGTCACACGAGATGACTGCCTGTCCACCCTGCAGCACACAAGGGAAACAGAGGCTTGTGATGTTCCCAACTCTAGTTGTGCTCCCCAACTCTAGGAAATGACTGAACAGTTAAAAAATCATTCTTGTGTGGGCAGAACTCCAGCAAGATAAAATATTCAGCAGTGTTATGTTCCTGGACACCCTATTTCTGACAATACATTTCATGCCTCATATGCCACAACAGTTATACTATTTCAGTCAATAACCAAAGAACAGGTCCACATCCTTTCCTAACAACTCAAGAAAAGAAAAAAAACCAACATAAGTAAACTGTACAACACTCAGAGGAGGGTATTATTATTATTTACTGGTCTGTCACTATGATAGGCAGGTCTGAGCGGGAAAGGAAAGATACATTTTTGGCAAAGCACCATCCCCAGTGTTTATGGGTTTCACAGACCCATGAGAGCTGGCAGTGGGACCCAGCACCTGCATGGCAGACCCCACCAAATTCAGGAGGATCAGTTTTATCTTTAGTGACACTGGAGCACTTTTCCCCTTCTAATATCACTCCCCATGCACTGTGTACCAGAAGCTCCACCGCCAACACTCTGAATGTCCCAGACTAACATGACAGCCCTAAAAAACAGCATGTTTTGGCAAAAAACAGGCTCTGCTTTCACCATTTGTAATTCGTCCTTCCTGCCCCACATGCACCTCTTCTTTCTTAATAATAAACCTTCCCAAGAAATCCCAGTGAGTGGGATTCGCTTCCAGCTAGATGGACATTTCAGCTCCCACTGCTCCTCGGGCAGTGATTTTCCCTTCTCCCTCCGGCTCTGGGCACCCAGCAGCTCTGTGGGTTGCTGCTGGACACCAACACCTACACCCTGGTTGCAAGACAGCATGACAATGGAGCAACATGAGCTGCAAAGTCCAAGTCATGCCCAGGCAGTTCCCTTTACAAGAAGGGAAACACAGACTGAGTCCCAACCTTGAGAATTAGTTGCCAACTTCTAAATTTTGTGTTTGCAGCAAAATATGCTGCTTTTTTATCTTTATTTTTTTATCTATACCTCAGAGTGGATTACAGTACCACTTCTGACATTAAATCTCTCCCATACTGCAGCCCAAGTGAGCGTGTGTGCAACTAGTCGGCAAGAAGACTCTCCCTGCAAGTACAGCTGTGAGTTCCCCCAGATGAAGAACTCAGTGCCATTTCACATTAGTGAAGCTATGCTAGCTTGCACCAGCAATGGACGTGGTCTTTAAGTGTCTTTCACTTGATATTCCTTTACAAATCAAACTTGATCTCCACATCCCAAGTTTCCCTCTGGAGATGCACAAACAGCCTTTACTAGTCTTTTCTGGTGTTTTAATAGCTGCATATTGGAATTTCCAGCAGCTCATTTCTTGGCTTCAGGAGGTTTATGCATTCACCAGATACGATAATCGTGCATATCTCCCTCTCTTCACAAGAAGGTTCCAAAACAGATTTCAAAATACCCCTTCAATCCGCCTGTAGTAATTTTATCCTGTATTAATCCATTGAAGTGATGCACTGTCATCTATCAGAAGAATTAAACAGAGAAAGTGGGAAGCTCTCTTACCTATAATTGACTGACTGGCCAATAGGAGTCAAGTGCTGGCAAATTGGAGATGTAATTTCTACTTAATTATGGCATTAAAAAAATTACATGATATACCTACTTAGCATGGAAAGGAGCAAAATCAAAGCTAATAAGAATAAATTGGAAGAGAGGACATGTGTGAAATATAGTAGCAGGATCTTTTTTGTTTTGTGGGGGTTTTTTGTTTGTTTTGTTTGTTTTTATCACAGTTGCTCTGCTGAACAGGATGCTGACTTTTGTGCCTACACACTGCCTGGAAATACTGCACCCCTGGCTGATTCTAAGGTCCCGCCAACATGCAAAACTGCATTGTACAAAGGCATGGATACAACAAGAAATATATGTTAAAACCAAAGCAGTGTACATGCTTTTTACATTACATATGAATTTTCTATCAATCCAGTTGAAATTCACCAGAAATGAATGAAGGCAAAGCCCAGATACATCATTGCAGAGCTCAAATATAGATGTGAATGAATGGATGAACCATGAAGAGTTTTGCAAGCCTTCAGTTAAACTAATTATAAAATGCATTTAAAAGAAAACAGTTCAACTTCTGTGTTTAGACACAGGATTATAACGAGCAGTATAAAACACAAACAATTCTGTTGAAGCCAGGATAGCTACTAGTATAAGATGAACAGTCAGAGGCACATAAATCATTGGCATTTGAGAAGAACATGCCACTGCCATGAGAAAACACAAATACACCCCATCCTTTTTTGTGGGGCAACATATTTATCATGCTAGAGAAGCCTGTTTTCTCTAGATGAACACCACAACTCTAACTTCAAACTATTCCATTTCAGGACAGCTGGTCAGCACAACAGTGCTGGAAAGGGGAAACAGGGTCTTACTACAAAGAGGAAATAGGGCAGGTCTTAAAGACCCTTTGACCCACAAACCTAATAAACCATGACAAGGCCATTCTGTAACTGCCCTAACCCAACCCCAAGCACTGCTGCCAGGAAAGGAGGAGATCTGACTCCTGCAGCCTCCTGTTCCCAAGCACTGGTGCTAAGCCAGGGAGCAGGAGGCAGATGCCAGCAACAGTAACTGGGTTTTGTTTTATGCACTTGGAAACAGAAGTCAAACAAGAATTATAGTTTTACCTGCAATGTAGATTTAAAAACACAGAGCTTCCAAAGGCTAGTCAAATTATCCTCTGAACATTTCCTGCTTTGTCAACAGAACTTTGAAATTAAAACACAAATTAAACTACCTTCAGTCTCTGGAGGAATGGTTAGCTGGATTTAAGATACATTTTATGTGTCATACAGAAAAAAACCAACACTGGTACATGCTCAGATAGCAATGACATGCAGCCTGAGACACACAGATACAAACCACACTTGCTCCCACACACTCAATAAATGCATCAAATTGACCAGAAACCAGAAACACAGCCAGCCATGACCCTGCACATGGAGCAAGCCGTGGGGGTGACTTACTGCAAGTGTTCATACAGATGATTTCTGCAGATGAGAACATTTATTGCCACAATGAAGGCAGCACAGGTAAAAGACAGACTGCTTACCCCTCTGAGCTGCTGGACTCCACCAAATATCCTCATCACTCCATCAATCTCCTGCTCCAGCCTCCTGGCCCAGTACTGCATACTGCAAGAGATGAAGAGACAGAGAGAAAGAGAAAGGGAGAAAAAGAGAGAGAGAAAGAGTCAGAGCCCTGACACTTTGCAGACAAGCAAGGCAATTGAAGGGACAGGGAGGAAATCGGTGCCCTCAGCTGAGCTAAGTGCTCTCTCTCTGCAGCACCAAGTGCAGGCAGAATACCAAGAACATGCAGCCTTGAGAATTACAGCTGGGGTAGGTTATAAACTTCCAGACTTCAAAATTTATGCACAAGGCACAACAGAAAGAAAAGGGGGGAAAAGGTACAACCAAAATCTCAATGCATGTTTGTTTTGGGTTTTTCTTCCTTCTTATATAAACAGTTGCAGCAGATAATTATTTAAGCCCAGAGTGATTAACAAGGTTGAAGTGCTGTGAGTACAGAAAAGAGCTTAACGCTTCAGCAGGGCTCTGTGGCACAGAGCAAACACAGATCCATGGCAAGACCAGTGGTGCCTGTCTTACTGTGGCAATGGATTATTGCTGCAGCAAAAGAGAAAGGACCCGAACACAGGCCACAGAGTGCCCAAGGTCTCTGCTGCTTTGCACCTTCAGTGAAGCCCAGCCTAAACTGGGCACCAGTTCTGTCCACCACAGTCAGAGCTTCCTCCTGGGACAGCAGGAAAGGCCAGGAGCTGCCATGTGGCACCTCCTTCGTCCTGGTTCCTGTACAGCAAGGGGGGTTGCTGCCAGTCCTTCCAACAGGCACAACACCCACCGATATATTCAACCACACAGATTCCACTTGGAGCAATAACATCAAGTTAAAACAACAAAAACAACAAAAAAAAAACCCTCTATAAATCCACAGAACTTGATAACTCTCCTTCTTTTAATGAGATTTCCTGAGTCCAGCCACTGGTCACACAAATGTCAAATCTCCCATCTGACCTGGAAAAGCAAAGCTCGATTGCCTCTGCACCACCCAGCCTTGCTTTGTCCACAGAAACATCCATCCCTCAATGCTACACCAGAGAAAGAAGGGAAGGAGCACAAGGAGTAGAAGGTAAGGCCAGCAAGGGGGGTTTTGCACTTTGCTTGGTTTCACAGAGTAGTTTCTTTCTTCACACAAGATGTTTCCCAGGCAGCCCATGCGCACTCCCCCACCATCCCCAAACCCACAGCAGAGGCTCTCCTGAAGGCCAAGGAGCAAAGAAACCCAACTAAGAAGGAAGGCCATGGAGGACTCTGAATCATACAGCATGGCCCAAAAGCTGGGCAGAAATATCAGACATCAGAAAGATGCCTGAGATGAGCAGCTGAACAGAGCTGGAGAATCACTTGTTAAGGGTGGGGAGACAGAAGGAGAGACTGACAGATTTCTGTTACTCACACAGGCAAAGTTAGTAACATCCAAGGCTGTGGATAACAACAAGAGTTAATTGCACATGCCAAATCTTCCCAATTTTCCAGCATAACTTAGGCTATTTCTCATGTTCTTGCAGATGTAACAGTCTGCTCTTCCATGGGAGAGGGGAAATCCAGGGAAAGACATGGGTGAAGACACCTGTAAACCCACCTTTCTGCCAAAGGAGGGAAAACAAAGACTTCAGTGGGACTTCCAGTGTAAAGATGATGGGTCACAAATAGAGCTGAGTGGGGTTTTGAGTTGTTTGGGGTTGTTGTATTGGGTTTTTTTTATTTTTTTCAGACAAAACCCTTCATTGCCATCAAAGGTTGTCCAAAGTTTTCTATTAATCTTCTGAAGTATTTTCACCAAAACTTATTTTTATGCAAATCATTAATTTAAACAAATGCCTTGAAACACCAAACCTGTTTTTAAATTTTTCCCCTTACTCCAGTTTGTCCAGTAAGCTGACAAATCAAGTATATGCTCATACTCAGCCACAGATTCAAGAAACTCCACCAAGTACTTACAGAGCTGATACCTTTCCTTAATTTCCAATTTTGTCCAAGATCCTCAATTTCAGTGACATCTGCCTGTGTCAGCTCCCTCCAGTAACACCCACACCACCAAAAGAAAATTACCATCCATCTTCAGCTGTATCCATCAACATTAACAACTGCTCAAATCCACATAAATGGCATGTATGGCCAAGCCTTCAGAGAGGAGCAGTTATAGAGGAAGACAGAGGCATCAGTATTACTCTGATGGCATATGCAAAAGAGACACTGAGCGCTCAGTTGGGCTGGGATTTAAATTGGTTTAAATTTAGTCAGCAGATTTGTTTAAAAAATGTTTTTAAACTTATTCCACCCCCTGCCTCCACCCCAAGTAGTACTACTATTTTAGGGAAAAGCCACTGGATTTTTCATTCATGAAAATGACTGCAATTTGCTTTAGTTGTGCAGCCTTATGATAGCTGACTCTCAACCTTATGGACCAGCAATTTCTCAAAGAGACCAGGTATGCTTTGTAGTACAAGCTTTAGATACCACTATTAAAAAAGTGTAATACACTATCAAAAAAGGGGGAAGGGGATTTCCTCACAGCTGACAACAGGTTTCTAGATTTAAAAATGTAATAGCAGAAACAGATTCTTTTGTTTGTGTGTGTGTGTGTGTAGTATGGCTATGTCAGAGTTTTTGCCAACAGTAGTAAAAGTTCTTTTTTCCAATTAGCCCACCCTTTACCCATACCACTGGCAAAAGCCCTTGTGTGTATCTGACCTATTTCTATGTCCCCCCAGTCCTGGTAACATCCATGACCAGAAGTCTTCAGAGTGGGCCACATCTGAGAATGTGGAGGTTTCATCTCACTTGCTGTATATGCTTGCTAGGTTGAAAGCTATCATTTAAAAAAAATAAAAAATCAAATCCATAAAACCCATTATTATTTTGTCTCAGTTGACCTTCTGCCTCTTGCTTCTCTCCCATTGACACTGCACTTAAAATTTTATGTGAGGCAACTGTAGGAAGGATGAAGAGGGTAAAGAAAGTGATAGCCCATTATGAACATGGAGGTTTCTCTTTAAGCGTGTCTCCTATGGAAGCTGGAAGCAGTAAGACGTGACAGTCACTGCAGCCCTGGGCCATTACTGCAGACCTCAGGTGGTGTTACGGGGCTTGAGAAGCCATACATGCAGCCTGGAGTGTCCTGCTGCTCCCATGAAATCGCATTTACAAAACCAGCACACAGAAAACAGCTGATGCACCCCCAGGAGGCCACGAGCATGGATGTGGTGCTGGTCACCAAAAGCCACCAGGCCCCCTTTATGAACCATGTCTGCAGTCTCCTTCCTAAACCAAGGAACACTTTAGTGTTCTCTGTAGTGAATCAACATGGGCAAGGAGAAAGCCTTTGAGCTCAAGTATTTGGGAATACAACTCAGTAGCTCTGTGCCTATAGGAACCACATGCAAGGAGCCCTGCCATCCCCTGCCCCCTCTTTAGCAGCAACATGCACACCACATCCCAGTGACACCCCACACCCCTCCATCATCTCAGGTGGCTCTGCCTTTGCTGGGGAGTCTCCATAGGACTTTTCCATCCCAAAAACTCTACAGCTATGATATGCACAAGCATGATGAAACACATTCAAGATATATATTTAAAATCTCTTGCACTGAAAAAAAAATTGTTTGTTTCCTTCCCCTGTATATTTTACAGCCTCCTCTGCAACATTTAACAAGGGACATAAATGATTTTTTAAAACACACCACCATTTATCACTGCCTCTCCACAGAAACCTACAAAAATGCTAATTGATTTAATCATTTGCATATTTGATTTTTCTTAAAGATGAGATAAAGTAGGCTTAAAAAAAGCTGCAGAGCTTCAAAAATATTTACTGTAACAAGCAGCACATCAGAAGACAAATCACTGCTGTTGCAGTCGGGGCCAGGAGGCAAAGTGTTCCAAGCTGTCCCACTCCTGCTCAGTGGATGTCTGGGCCTTGTCACTGATCACAGCAACCCTTTCTTAGGGTTAGGACACATTTAATGGTTTAGGTGACCCAAGCAGTTGCAGAGACTTCTGTGCATGTTCACATTAGTTTGTGAGGCTCCACCACTGCTCCAGCTGTGTGGCTTTAGAAGAAAGCAAGAACTGCCTGCAAAGACAAGAGACAGGCTGTGCATGTGCTTGTGCACACACAGACTACAGCCTGGACTCCTGCTCTTCTGTACAGAAGTTGGAGACATTTGCAGACCAGCAAATGGTCTGGGAAGCAAATGGAAAGACCCTGAGTGCAAGCCAGGCATTGACAGTCCACAGTCAACACCACGGGGATGTACCACTGCAATTCAGCCCAAGGTCACTCTGGCCCGTGATGGCTCATGGTACACAGGACAGACCCTTCGCAGGCTGCAGGCACACCTCTTCATGCCTAGCCTAGAAACAGGTAAGGCAGTTTCCCACAGTGCCTAAGCCAGGCTAAGGACCAGAAACATGACTGCTCTTAGAGCTGCCTCTGCGGAGTAACATCCATGAGGTGTAGAATCCCCTTTGCGGGTAGCACCTGCCTTCTCCTGGGGCTCTACCTGGCAGCCCATGCACCACTAATGAACATAAGTTTCATTGCAAACTGCCTCTCACAAAAGCACAGCGCAAGAAGAAGAGGGGAAAAAAAATTAGTTTTCTGCTTGAGGACACTTTTTTTAAGCAGCTTTAGGAGAGTGCTTGTTTGGCTGTGAGCAGGAGAGGACAATTGAAAAAAAAAAAAAAAAGACAGGAGACTCCATCTTTTTCTCCTGCTGCCTTCCTGACTCAAAAAAGAAGAAAAAGATTCACACAAACATTAAAGGACAGGAGGAAAAACTACTTGCTAAGTAGATATACTGCCCAAAAGCTTACTGGGTTCCACACAATGTTCTGCACAAGTGTCTCCACTTCACGCAGTGTGTTCAGCCAAGAACGCTTCACTCTGATTCATACGCTTTGGTTCAGTGCCCAAATATTGCTATTTAATAAGGTTATTAATTACTGTGTTGTCTAATTTTTGCTGTGCAGGAACTTCTTATAATTGGCTTATTTCTTCAAGATGCTTAATCCTTTAACTATAATAGTGTGTGTCTCAATGTGCGCT